ACTGGGAATTGAACCATGACCTCTTGGCTTATGGGTCGATGCTCAATCTCGGAGCCACACCAGTCAGGCAGATTGAGCAGATTTTATAAATTTGTTGGTTTTTGTAGTGAACTGCTTATTTTGAAACCCAACTGCCATGGAGTAAAGATTTGTGTCCCCACAAATTCATGTTGAAGTCTTAACCCCCAATGCAATACTATTAGGAGGTAGAGCCTTTGGAGATAATTAGGGTTAGATTATATCATGAGGGTGGGGCCCTCATGATGGAAGGAGATAGATCTCTCTCACTCTCTTTCTGACTCTACCATCCTATCTATGTGAGGATATAGTAAGAAGATGACTGTTTGTGAACCAGTAGAGGGCCTTCATCGGGAACCTGACCATGTGGCACCCTGATCTCAGACTTCCCAGACTCCAGAACTATGAGAAATGTAACTGTGAGAAATGTCTGTTACTTTCGTCACCAAGCAATGGTATCTTGTTACAGCAGCCTGAGCAGACTAAGACACCAGCAGAGGAGTAACTGAAGAGATCACCCAGTAGGACGTTTTAGAAAAAACTGCAGCAACAGTAGTTATTTTTCAAGTGACTTGGATTCCTGTCAGTCAGCTCTGGCCTTGAAACAGAGGAAACACTTTCCTCAAGATAATGAACGGTCAAATGCACAAATGACTGAGCCATTTTGTTAGGTTCTCTCTTTCCTTTTCTACTCTCCCTTTCCTGATTCTTGGTCCATGACTCAGACTCTCGTCTCCAAAGCAGCCTTCTGGAATCTCCAGTTCCACGGCTTCAAATGCCACCTAATTCTGAATACTCCCAAACATGCAGCTCCAGTTCAGACCTCTTGCCTGAGCTCCTCAGTGCTATACAACACAGGGTTAAGACTCTGGCTCCCCTGAATCCTGGCTCTGTGATTAACATTGTGACTCAGTTGCCTGAAGGGTGCACAATAAGAACAGAATCCACCTCATAGGGTTCTGAAGACTGAATGAGTTAGCACAGGGAAGGCACTTTATTGTTGTTGTTTTTTAGCTAATGATAACATGCCTGGGGCAGGGAAGGGAAGAGGAAAGGGAAAGGCATGAGCTCCTGGGAGGAGAGCCATGAAAGGCACTTTAAATAGTGTCTGACACACAGTAAGAGCTCAATCAATGCCATTTACTTGCCATCACCTCTCTACCCTCCTCCCATACCACTCACTTCTTTCTTGATAATGCTTCTTTGTTCTCTGAACACACCAAGTACTAATTAAACCAGCTGTTCCCTTTGCCTAGAGCTCTCCTGTTCTTCACATGGTCAGCTCAGTCTTAGCTCATATTTCAATTCCTCAAAGAGTTCACTGACCACTCATTTGAAAATTATGACAGCCCCCTAACACTTTCTAATCTCACCTTATTCATTTCCTTCATAGAACTTGCCATGCTCTTAATCTTGTTTATTCATTTGTCTTTTTCCATCGTCTGTCTCCCATATTAGATCATAAGCTCTATGAAAGCAAAAACCTAATCTGATTTATGCATCATTATATCCTGGGCCTAAAATAGTGCTTTGCACATAGTAATTACTCATACATTTGCTTAATGAAGACCAAACTAATGATCTCAGTCAAACCTTTACCTTTTAATCACTGTTTATTCTTCTTTTAAATAAAATATACATAAAGCCAAAACCGGTTTGGCTCAGTGGATAGAGCATTGGCCTGCGGACTGAAAGGTCCCAGGTTCGATTCCGGTCAAGGGCATGTACCTGGGTTGTGGGCATATCCCCAGTAGGAGATGTGCAGGAGGCAGCTGGTCGATGTTTTTCTCTCATCGATGTTTCTAACTCTCTATCTCTCTCCCTTCCTCTCTGTAAAAAATCAATAAAACATATTTAAAAAAAATATACATAAAATTTACCATTTTGACCCTTTGTAAGATTAGTTAAGTATTTTCACATTTTGGTATAACCATCACCATGATCCAGCTCTAGAACTTTTTCAGTTCTCCCAATTGAAACTCTAACTCATTAAACATTAACTTCCATCTCCCCCCAACCCCAGCCCCTGACAACTTTCTCTCTATGGAGTTGACTATTCTAGGAACCTCATATAAGAGTATTCAAACAATATTTATCCTTTAGTGTCTGGCTTATTTTAATTTTTAATTATTTAATTTGAGAGGAAGGGGCAGAGAGAGACTGATTTGTTGTTCCAGTTATTTATGCATTCATTAGTTCTTTTTTTTTTTTTTTTAAATATATTTTATTTGTTTTCTACAGAGAGGAAGGGAGAGGGATAGAGAGCCAGAAACATCGATGAGAGAAACATCGATCAGCTACCTCCTGCACACTCCCCACTGGGGATGTGCCCGCAACCAAGGTACGCGCCCTGGGACCTTTGAGTCCGCAGGCTGATGCTCTATCCACTGAGCCAAACCGGTTAGGGCTCATTAGTTGATTCTTATATGTGCCCTGACCAGGGAACCCACAACCTTGGCATATCAGGATGATGCTCTAACCAACTGAGCTACCCAGACAGGCCCATGCCCTTTTTTCCTTCAACAGGGAATTACTACTTTTTCTGAGACAGTCCGATCCATACATGAGTATCTCTCTTTTAAAAATTCTTCCTTCTGTTGAACTGAACTATATCCATGTCCTCATTGCATAAATTCTTCTCCACACCATAAACTTTCATATATTTGAAGAAAAATCTCTAACCCAGTCTTTCCTTCTTCTGACTTTATGCCCACTTCTTTCAAAATCTTTTTATGGGGGGAAAAGGGGAATTTAGTGAGCACAGAGTTTCAGCTTTGCAAAATAAAAAGTTCTGGAGATATGTTTCACAATAATGTGAGTATATTTAACATTACTAAACTGTACACTTAAAAATATTTAAGATGGTAAATTTTGTTATGTGTTTTTTACCACAATAAAAGGACTCTTCCTTATGATAATGATTCATGTGGTTGTGCCTTCAAACTTCTAGTTGCTTTCTATATATACTAGAGCCCCGGTGCACTAAATTTGTGCATTGGGCAGGGGGTGGGGTGACTCTCAGCCCAGCCTGCACCCTCTCCAATCTTGGACATCCCTCTCACAATCCAGGACTGCTGGCTCCTAACCGCTCACCTGCCTGCCTGCCTGATTGCCCCTAACCACTCTGCTGCCTGCCTGGTCGCACCTAACTGCCTTCTCCTGCCAACTTGGTCGCCCCTAACTTCTCACCCTTGCTGGCCTGGTTGCTACTAACCGCCTCCGCCTTGGCCCCCGCCACCATGGCTTTGTACAGAAGAATGTCTGGTCTAATTAGCATATTACCCTTTTATTAGTATAGATGCTCTAATACAACGGTTCTCAACCTGTGGGTCGTGACCCCTTTGGCGGTCGAATGACCCTTTCACAGGGGTTGCCTAAGACCATCCTGCATATCAGATATTTACATTAAAATTCATAACAGTAGCAACATTACAGTTATGAAGTAGCAATGAAAATAATTTTATGGTTGGGTCACAACATGAGGAACTGTATTTAAAGGGCCAGAAGGTTGAGAACCACTGCTCTAGTATATCTCCAGAATCCAAACTAAAATATGGTTCCCAAGATGTGTTCTCTTTAGTACAGAGTGGGATTACCACTAGTCTCATTATGATACATTTCTCTACTCAAAGCCTAATATTATATTACTCTGATGGTGGTGGTTGGAGGTTTGGAGGGGCGGGGGGTAGGGATGCTGCAGGCCAGACAGTTGCAGTGCATGGTGGCTTCATTTAGTCTCAGACAGTATTTAGTCTTGAAAGAAGCAATTAAAATTCACCAATACAGTATCCAGTAAATTTGATCGCAAATCATTACAGTTCTATTTTCTTCTATATCTAGTTTTGTTTATATTTAATTGTTGTGCTCTTCATTAAGGTACATGACCTTATGTACAGAAGAACAGTATTTCATTATTTTGGTTAAAAAAATTTCCCTACCCTATACAACAATACTTATTTCAGTGCTTCTTAAACCCTTTTCCTGAATAAAGGAGTGAACTCATACTCCTATCCTATAGACAGGGAGACCAGGGTATGGGCCAAGGGCCACAAATAAAAAGTCTTACACACCATTTAAAAAATATATGTACATTTGGCATGATAGTCTATACTTCATCTATATTTGTTTCAATATTAAAAAGTCTTTTCACAGACCTCTCTGTATACCACTGTGCATCCTTGAAGAGAAGCTTGAATTCAATCAATTCAATACAATTTCAATCCCAACTGTGACTGTGTTAAATGAAAAGAGAAATTACATTTTAATTTCTTAGAGAAGTTTTGTAAGAGATTGGGCAATATTATACATGAACCAACAAGGACAGAGGGAAATCTAACAAACATCCAAGGAAAGGAGGCAAAAGGCATGGGGACAAAATTTAATCTTGCACAAACCCAGCTGTCCACTCCCACTTGAGTCATATCTAATACCTATCAAATTCTAAGATGAGCTGAGGATTGTCATTCCTTACAGGTGGGCCTGGGTCTTTTTCCCATCCCAGCACTAACCAGGCCTGACACTGCTTAGCGTCCAAGATCAGAGATCAGGTGCATTCAGGGTGGTATGGCCGTAGACGTGGCTAAATCTTTTTCACTGTTGTCACCCTAGCACTTACTACAGTTCCTGGTACACAATAGGTATTCTATGATTTATAAGTAATATTAGTAGCTAACTCATTGCCAGGCACTATTTGAAGTACTTGACATATGCTAACTCACTTAATCCTCACAAACATCCCTAGGTGAAATCCTTTAATATTCCTCTGTACAAAAGAGGAAACCGAGGCCCAAAGAGTTTGAATAACTTGCTCAAAGTCACATGGTCAAAAAATGGCAGAGCTGGGATTCAAACCCAGCCAGTTTAGTTCCAGGGTCTGAGCTCTTAATCACTATACTCTTATGTTTGTTAAATAAACGAATGAGTAAATAATTTGGAAGAAATGAAAAGCAAATGTTTTAAACCAGAAGACTTTAGCTCCTTACAGTGTAGTTTGTTGCTTCGGCTGTTGAGTGGTTCTGGTCCATTCACATCTTTACTCTTTTCATTATCCTCAATGGGTCGGAAATGAGCCAAAGTTCTCATGAATCCACGAAAGTTTACCTGGTCCTCTCTGATTGGGAAATATAACAAACAGAACACCATGTCAATCAGGGTGATAATTTCTTATGAATTCAATGTATTAGCAACAGCTTAAGCTAAAGTGGCAAGAAATTCCATCCAACGAGGTCTCTTTCCACATGCACAGTACTAGTACTTTAGTGTTCATATAATATCTTCATTTAAGTCTCACCTTAACCTTGTGAGGTGGGCATTGATGTTTCTATCTCTCACTCCCTCATCCTTCCTCTCTGAAATAATAATAATAATATATATATTTTAAAAATATATTTTATTGATTTTTTTACAGAGAGGAAGGGAGAGGAATAGAGAGTTAGAAACATCGATGAGAGAGAAACATTGATCAGCTGCCTCCTGCACACCCCCTACTGGGGATGTGTCTGAAACCAAGGTACATGCCCTTGACTGGAATCGATCCTGGGACCCCTCAGTCTGCAGGCCAACGCTATATCCACTGAGCCAAACCAGTCAGGGCAAAATATATATATTTAAAAACAAAATCACTGCTTTGGAATCTGCAGCAAGCAGGAAGGTGGTCATTTCAACTGAATGGCTTCCAACCACCTCCTGTGTCTCCTCTGTAGTCACATATACCTAGTGATATTTTAAGGTTAAGGCATACCATGAAAAAACTTTTTTAAAAAAATATTTTTTTAAAAGGTGTTTTTATTGATTTCAGAGAGGAAGAAAGAGGGAGAGAGAGAGAAACATCAATGATGAGAGAGAATCATAGATTGGCTGCCTTCGGCACACCCCCTACTGGGAATCAAGCCCGCAACCCAGGCATGTGACCTTGACTGGAATGGAACCTGGGACCGCCTTCAGTCTGCAGGCCCACGTTCTATCCACTGAGCCAAACCAGTTAGGGCTGGAAAAGCTATTTTTAAAATAAATGTTACTTAGTTATAAAAGCAATAAATACATTTTTGGAAATTTGGGGGGGGGGGGGAGTAGAAGAAAAAAAAAAAACAGTCCTAGCTCTACCAATCAATTACAACCATCATTAATAAATTTTCTTCCAGTAATTTTTCTATGCTGTTAGGATAATTGTGAACACACTGCACAAGTGATTATTTTTTCCACTGATTTTTAAAGCATGAAAGGGAGGGAGGCAGGTGGAAAGGGAGGAGGCCGGGAGAGAGGGAGAGAGAGAGAGAGAGAGAGAGAGAGAGAGAGAGAGAGAGAGAGAGAGAGAGAGAGAGAAACATCGATGTGAGACACATTGATTAGTTGCCTCTCATAGTGCCCCAACCAGTGTCAAGGATCAAACCTACAACCCAGGCACAGCCTTTGGACCGGAATCCAACCTGTGAGCCTTCAATGCCTGGGCCGATGCTCTTAACCACTGAACTACATAGGGCAGGCTATTTATTTACTTTCTTTTATTTTTCAATTACAGTTTACATTCAATATTCTTTTGAATTAGTTTGAGGTGTACTGCATAGTGGTTAGACAATCATACACTTTACAAAGTGTTCCCCCTGATATCTCCAGTAACCAGCTGGCACCATACACACAGTGGAGCAAAAGTAGGTTTACAGTTGCTTGTATAGAAAATATAACAATTAATAAACAATAAACTCCGTTTCACTTACAATAGAAACTTACTTTTGCCTCACCCTGTAATTATTACAATATTATTGACTTTATTCCCTATGCTATACTTTACATCTCCATGACTATTTTATAACTACCATTTTGTAGTTCTTAATACCTTCACCTTTGTCACACAGTCCTCCAACCCCCACCCCCCGTCAACCATCAGTCTGTTCTTTGTATGTATGAGTCTGTTTCTATTGTATTTTGCTCTTTAAAACTTTTAAGCATGTCTCCAATGAATCTTCTATAATAACAAAAGGGTAATATGCTAATTAGACTGGATGTCTTCCAGACGTCCTTCGTCCTTCCTGACAAAGCCGGGGCTGTGGGTGGCCCGGGGGAAGCCAGCCCGGGTCCTGGGTGCCTGCTGGTGGCTGAAGGAGAAAAGCCTGGATCCCGGGTGCCAGAGGGAAGCCGGAGCTGGCAGCTGGGGGAAGGAAGGCCTACTCTTGCACAAATTTTTGTGCATTGGGCCTCTAGTATAAATATAAAAGCATAATTGTGTATCTGTATCATGATTCTATTATTCCCTCATAATTGGATAGATCACCCTTACCTCCTCATTTTTCATCATACAATGTTTTGAAAGACCTTTTTGTATAAAAAGCTTTATTTTTTTTGGTAATCAGAGAAAAACATTTTTATTGTACTGCAGGCCACTCAATAATCCTTTAAGAAATAATTCTAAAATTTGAATAAATGAAGAATGTTCTTTAATATTAAAAAAGAATGTCCCATGTGACATAGTTATTTGCTTAGGGCAGTACTGGAAAGAACAGTTGCCGGTTCCTAAGAATAAATGCCAGTCTTTGTATGTCTCATTGGTCAGATGAAGTATGGAAGGTCTTTATAGACATACATATCAGAGACCTGCTAAAGGTACAACCTTCTAAACCACCGACTGGCGACCGCTGCTCCAAAGGTTTCCTTAAACCAGCGGTCGCCAACCTTTTGGACCTCAAGGACCACCAGTGGTCCACAGACCACCGGTTGGCAACCACTGTTCTAAAGAATAACCTTTAGTTCTTAAAAGTAGCTATACTACTAATGGAGCAGTATCTTGTAAAAAATGTAAGATCTGCCCTAACTGGTTTGGCTCAGTGGATAGAGCATCAGCATGCAAACTGAAGGGTCCCAGGTTTGATTCCAGTCAAGGGCACATGCTGGGGTTGCTGGCTCGATCCCCAGTGGGGGGCTTGCAGGAGGCAACCAATCAATGATTCTCTCATTGATGTTTCTCTCTCTCTCCCTCCCTCTTCCTTCCTCTCTAAAATCAATAAAAAATATATTTTAAAAAAGTAAGATCTGAGGAATCAAGTAATATGAAATAAGATATGAGTTATATGCCAAAACAAACAGGTTAATAAGTACATATTTTATTGCCATAATGTCTCTGAGTTAAAAGTAACTAAATACCACCCTAGCCCGTTTGGCTCAGTGGATAGTGTCGGCTCATAGACTGAAGGTAATTGGGTTCGATTCTGGTCAAGGGTACCTACCTTGGTTGCAGGCTCGATCCCTGGCCCTGGTTGGGGGGGCATGCAGGAGGCAACCAATCGATGTGTCTCTCTCTGTCTTCTCCCCATCCCTTTCACTCTCTCTAAAAATCAATGGAAAAATATCCTCAGGTGAGGATTAATAACAACAATAAAAAATTGACTATATACCAATGTTCCACTTTCAAATAGAAACACTGATCTGCTGCCTCCTGTATGGCCCCCTCTGGGGATGAAACCCGTTACAACCCTGGTATGTACCCTAACTGGGAATCAAACTCCTGGTGCATGCATTGGATGACATTCAACCAACTGAGCCACACCGATGGGGCAAATCTCATTCTTTTAATATGTTTTTTTAATTGATTTTTCTTGAGAGAGGAAAGAAGGAGAAACATCCATCGAATGACTCCCACACATACCCTTGACCAGGGATTGAACCTGCAACCCAAACATGTGCCCTAACCAATTGACCTGTCAACCTTTCAGTGCACGGGATGACGCTCAACCAACAGAGCCACACCAGCCAGAGCTCAAATCACATTGTTTAAAAAAAAGATTCCAGCCCTGGCTAGTGTGGCTCAGTTGGTTGGAGCATCATCCTGTATACTGAAAGGTTGTGGATTAGATTCCCAGTCAGGGCACATACCTGGGTTGCATGTTCGATCCCCGGGCACGTAATAGGAGGCAACCGATTGATGTCTCTCTTGCATCAATGTTTCTCTCTCTCTCCCATACCTTCCCCTCTCACTAAAAATCAATAAAACATGTCAAGTGAGAATTAAAAAAAAAAAATCCACTTGCATAAGACTAGACAAAAACATACCTTGCAAGCTAGATATTTATATCTTACTAGAAAGAGCAAGAAGCAGAGGTGCAGCTTGCTAAGAGCCCAGCAGTGCATCCCAGTGTGGGCCTCAGCTTCCTCATGTACATCTGCCTACTGTCCTTAGCAGCAGATCCCTGGGTAGGATGGTGGACGATACTGCAGTCACAACAAAGGTGGTTTGGCCTTACAAAACACTTTCCACAAGCTGCTGCTTCAAATAATCAAGGGTACCTGAGGAACTTTGAAAAAAAGTTGGCAAAATGACTCTATAGAGTTTACTTTTCTCTGCAAAAGACTGAAACAGCTGTGAAAGGTCTCTCTGGAGTTCAATGTTCTGCAAGAGCTAAAAGAAGAAGTAGAAAAACCACACCTAAAACAAACAGGGCAGTTCAGGGAGAGAAACGGGGGAAAATGAGGAAGGGTAGCAGATTACTCATGGTCAACATGAATCTGAAAGAGCAGGTCTCAGTCTTCATATTCCTGCCTTCATATAAATTGGCTGTTAGTGTTCCTCTGACTATCACTCAGATTTACCGAGTATCCAAATTCTCAACCTGCACATTCCTTTGCTCTCAATTCAGAGTTCTAAAATTTCTCCAGGCATTTTATGTGATAGTGTCCTCACTGATACTTAGTCTCATTATTAAGAACTCGCAACCACATAACTTCTTAAAGTCCTTTGGGTCATACAGACAAGCCACAAGGAACCAGGAAGAGATTGTTAGCGATTACTTAAAACAAGATTATATGACTAACTTTATTCATGAAAAGGTACCTAATCAAATCAATAAATATTGACTCAGTACTTTGAAGGCAGTGTATTAGGTAGTGAAGCATATCAACAGCCTAGTTTTATATTAGACAAACTTTATATTTGAGAAAGTAAGTGCGTATGAGGTGGGGACAACTGTATTCTTAGTCAATGTTGTAAAAAAAATACTAACAAAACAAAATAAAACCCACAAAAAGAAACAAAGGCTGTGCAAATATTCCAAATTAAAGAAGGCTAAAGACACATGACAACTGACCCACACTGCATTCTGTTATTAAAGGGGGCAAAAGTGCTATAAAGGAGATTATTGGATGAACTGATAAAATTGGAATATAAATAATATATTAAAACTAGAGGCCCGGTGTACGAAATTCATGCATAGGAGGTGGGTCCCCTCAGCCTGGCCTGCACCGTCTCGCAATCTAGGACCCCTTGGGGGATGTCCAACTGCCGGTTTAGGCCCAAACCCACAGTGGGATTGGGCCTAAACCGGCAGTTGGACATCCCTCTCACAATCCAGGATGGCTGGCTCCTAAGCACTCACCTGCTTGCCTGCCTGATCGCCCTAACCACTTGCCTGCCTGCCTGATCGCCCCTAACCACTCTGCCTGACTGATCACCCCTAACCACTCTACCTGACTGCCTGTCTGATTGCCCCTAACTGCCTCTGCCTTGGCTCCTACCCTGGTGGCTTCATCCGGAATGACGTCTGGAAGGTTGTTTGGCTGTCTGGTCTAATTAGCATATTACACTTCTATTATTATAGATAAAATAGATAATGGGAGGAATGAGCAATGGTAATAAGATGAATAAGTTCTGGGTTGTAATGTACAGTATGGTGACTATTGTTAACAATAGTACATGTTTTATATTGTGTGTGTTTTTTAAAAATATATTTTTATTGATTTCAGAGAGGAAGGGAGAGGGAGAGAGAGAGATAGAATCATTAATGATGAGAGAGAATCATTGATCGGCTGCCTCCTGCACGTACCCCACTGGGGATCAAGCCAACAACCCGGGCATGTTCCCTGACCGGGAATCGAACCATGACCTCCTGGTTCATAGGTCAGCACTCAACCACTGAACCATGCCGGCCGGACTGTACTATATATTTGAAAGTTGCTAAGAGAGTATATTATAAAAGTTCTTACCACATACAAAAAAGTTAACTATGTGAGGTGATGAATATGTTAACTAATGTCATTGTGGTAATCATTTTGCAATAAAATCTATAAAATCACTGTTGTATATCTTAAACTTACACAATGTTATATGTCAATCATATCTTCAATAAAGCTGGAAAACAAAGAATAAATTACCTAATATTTTATATGATTATAGCATTTGGTAGGTGCTGTAAATGTAAATTACACACTGAATTTCAAAAACGTATTTTAACACATTGTATGCGTGAGACGAATTTTATAGACGCGGGATACGTTTTTTATAGACTAGCGGTAGAATGCGGGTAACGTATAAATACGTAAACTAAAGTTATCGTAATTTTACTGAACGTTGCCATTTGCGCAAAAAATTAGCAAAAATGGCCCGCGCCACCTGTTAGCGTGTAATAAAAACTACCCGCAAACAATGTGTTAAAAAAGAATGTTAAGATATATTAATAATTTTAAAATACTAATTACATATTGAATGATACTCTGAATATATTAGATTAAATAAAATATATATTGTTGAAGTTCATTTAACTTGTTAATTTTTACTTTTAAATGTGGCTACTAGAAAATGCATAATTATGTCTGTGTCTTGATTATATTTTTATTGGTTTGGACTGAAAGACAGAAAGTACATGCAAATGAAGCAACATGTTAACAACAATATAATAATAGATGTGTCTGGGTAAAAGATACACAGGTGTGCTTTGCACTATTTTCAATTTTTGCAACTTTTCTGTATATTTGAAATAATTTCCAAATAAAGTTTTTAAAGAGTTTAGTTTTATATCAAAGATAAACAGGGATTAGCCCTGGCAGGGTGGCTCAGTTGGTTGGAGTGTTGTCCTGTATACTAAAAAGGTTGGAGGTTTGATTCCAAGTCAGAGCACATACATAGGTTTCTGGTTTGATCCTTGGTTGTGGCATGTATGGGAGGCAACTGGTCAATGTTTCTCTCATATCGATGTTTCTCTCTCTTCCCTTTCATCTCTCTCTAAAAATCAATAAAAAAACATCCTCAGGTGAGGATTTAAAAAAATAATTTAAAAAATAGATAAACAGGGATTAAAAACAGAATTTTAAAGATGGGCTTATATACCTGTTTAAAGTTTAAAAAGGGAGGAGGGTAGAAGAAAAGGCGTATTTTAGATATGACCACGTTAGGGATGTTTAATATAATCAGGAGGATTGTGGTCTGAGATGACCCAACCAACATCATTATTCCAGATCAACCTCAGAAAGGAAGCCAAATAACTGCAGAAACTTACCCCTCTGGAAAGAAGGCATTGATGATCCGGTCCCCCAATGGGTTGATGGCAAGTTCTGGAATCCGCTGGAAATCTTCCCGGCTGCCAAGAGAATCACCTTGAGTTAGAGACCATTGGCCCTTAGCATGAACTCCTAGCAAGGATATTACCTTCTGGAATTTACTTCTGTGGCAAATTATACTAAATAACTGCAAAGAATAGCACTTTAATGGCTGCCAAGTGTTTCGTGCACCAAGTTAGGAGTGGAAGAAGCCAGATTTAACTTTGCCACATTCCAGTGAATTCAGCACACAGGTTACGTCAATAAACCACCAACGAGCAAATACTCAGTTGTCCCTGTAAATGATTCCTTGAACATTACCATTTTGTACTTAGTTATTAAGTTTGGAGAATGAACAGGAAGATCTACAGCACTATGACATACAAATAACTCTTAGGCAATCCTTAATTCCAAGGAAAGAATAAAAGGTAACAAACTAACTGATTTCCAGACTTCCTTGCTCTGAGTCTGTTTTTTTCTCCATTATCTTCTACAGACTAGAGTTAGAGGACTATTTAACCTTCAAACATGGCAAGAGTAGTTATCTACTCACAACTTGGAAGTTATGTTGGTGTATTATTAGTTCCCTCTCACCGTATACACATTCTGTGCCACTCTGTTTATATACATTATCTCATTTCTTAATGCTAACATTTTACCATACCTTCTAGAACTGAGGAAGTTGAGTCAGTGAGATAAAGTAACTTGCCCCATGCTACAAAGCCACTAAGTAGCAGAACCGTGATTTAAATCTAAGTCTGTAAGTTAAAGCACGTCTTTTTCTAAAAGCACATTTATTTCCAATATTAAACTTTAAAAAAAATACCTTTATTGATTTCAGAGAGGAAGGGAGAGGGAAAGAGAGATAGAAACATCAATGATGAGGGAGAATCATTGATTGGCTGCCTCCTGCACTCCTCCTACTGAGGACTGAGCCCGCAAGCCAGGTATGTACCCTTGACTGGAATCAAACCTGGGACCCTTCAGTCCGCAGACTGATGCTCTATCCACTAAGCCAAACCAGCCAAGGCTCCAATATTAAACTTTTTGAAAGAAAGGTGTTCTCCCAAAAAATGTTCAATAAGCATTTCAAAAAGAAAACTTGATTGATTTTCTGTGCCAATATAAAGCTATCTACAACATAACTGCGCTATACTTTTCAAAAATACCAACGTCATAAAGGACAGAGAAAGGAATGATTGTTTCAGATCCAAGGAGACTAATGAGCCATGTAACTAAACTCAATGCATGATCCTAGAGTAGAAGAAAAATTGCTATGAAGGACATTATGGAACCATAGGTAAAAATGAAATATGACCATACAGAATATAAAATATTATAAAATGGTACTGCATCAAAATGCTAAATTTCTTGATTTTGGTATGGGAAGGTCCTTGTTATAGGAAATACATACTGAATTATGTGGCAAAATGTTAACTGGTAAATCTGGGTCATAAATATATGAAGAAATATAAACTCAACAAATCTGATTCCTGCCTTTAAGATGTTTACTAACAGAAGAGATAAAAGTTACTCTTTTACCCTCTTTGTACTAAATGCTAGCGTTTCTGTTTACCCGGGAGCCTTTAATACTGTTCCTCTTGTGGTTTAACATTTACAGTGCTTAATTCAACAAACTCATCGCCAGCACATCTGATGGTGACAAAGGTAGAAATAGGAGACTGAGCACAAAGCTCTGGAACAATAATCTGGATTCTAATCTTCCTTTACCTCTTAGGATAATACTTTTTATAGCAATGAATGAACCAGAAGTCATTCATAATATAACCTGGTGCTTAAGATAGACCTACAGGGTATTGTGCTGAATAAAATAAGTCCGACAGAGAAAGACAAATGCCATATGACTTTACTTATACGTGGAATCAAAAAAACAAAATAAACAAGCAGAACAGAAATAGATCCATAGATACAGAAATCATTTTGACATATAAATTAAGAAGTACAAATTGATAGTTACAGAATAGTCATGGGTTATAAACTGTATCATAGGGAATAGAGTCAATAATATTGTGATAACTGTATATGGCATCAGATGAATATTAGATTTATTGGGATAATCACTTTGTAAATTATATAAATGTCTAATCACTGGGTTGTACATCTGAAACTAATATAATATTGTATATCAACTATAACTGAAAATTAAAAACAATTATCTTAAAAAACATACATTGATACCACCTCAATTCAAGTTGAAAAAACATGTTTTGAAAAAGCTAAATAAAATTTTAAACTGTAATAAAAATTAAAATTGCCGAAACCGGTTTCGCTCAGTGGATAGAGCATCGGCCTGTGGACTGAAGGGTCCCGGGTTCGATTCCGGTCAAGGGCATGTACCTTGGTTGCAGGCATATCCCCAGTAGGAGATGTGCAGGAGGCAGCTGATCGATGTTTCTGACTATCTCTCTCCCTTCCTCTCTGTAAAAAAATCAATAAAATATATTTTTTTAAAAAAAAGAAAAAAAAAATTAAAATTAAAAAAATGGGCAGAGGACTTGAATAGGTATTTCTCCAAATAAAATATACAAACAGAGCACTGCTATGGAAAGAAACTGAAAGATCTACCTGAGCAAAACCTCAACCAAGTGTGGGAGGTTGGCCACCCAGAAACACAATCCTTTTATTTGGGGAAGAGGGTTGCAAATCTGTCCCCTTGCTCCTTGACCACATATCCTAGAGTGAGGCCTATCAACTTAATGGTCCTTCTCAGAGTACAGAAGGGAAAGACCTGTAGAAAAACAAACCACAAACCACAAACAAACCCATAACAGTTTTCTACAGTAATCCAGCCAGGCCTTTTATAAATCTGAATGGACAACCAAGGCTCACCAGACATCTTAGGAAAATTAGTAGCACAAAAGAGTAGAATTAAGATGAATAAGATAATAATTCAGGGAATGAAAGAATTATTAGAATGAAAGATTCTAATAAGTAACCCCACAGACATTTGATAAGTTTTGCAATGGTAAAACAGAAATAGGCTACTGTGAGAGAGCAGAGGGCAGAGAACAAAAAAGATTCTTAGAAATTAAAAATATGATTGTGGACTATAAAAGTTCATAAAAGGACTGAAAAATAAATTCAAGGATATCTTTCAGGAAGCAAAGGAAAAAAACAACCAGAAAACTGAGTCATGGTAGTCCAATAAAGAGAAATGCCATAAAGATTAATTTAATAATTAAAAAAAGGAGAGAAATGGATATCCTCAAAGACACAATAGAAGAGAACTTCCCAGAAAAGACAAAAACTTCTCAGAAAAGGACATATTTTTAGATTGTGAAGGTTCTCCTAATACTGAGTAATGAATAACAGAAAATAACCCATAAAAAGGTGCATCACTGTGAAATTTCAGAACATCAACAGGAGATATATGAAGCTTGAGAGAAGAAAAAAAAGATTATGAACCAAAAGAATGAGAATTAGATAGGCATCATGGTTCTCATCTGAGATACCACTGTGTACAGAATAAGTGCTTGTCCAGAATGTTGAAATCTGTCCTCTGGATAAAGTCAAACAAGAAAATGAACCTCAAAAAGTCCTAGTGTGTAAGCAGATAAATGGCTGTCATTTAGGACACTATCTCTTAAGATTTACAGGTTATCGTTAAGCAATATGTAACAACATAGCCAACTAGCAATTCCCAGTAATAACTTCATTGCAGAGTTTAGCTGGTCTATATTGAAGCCCCTATTGTCAACTGAACCTGTAGGCTTTAATATCCAGGAACATTTTTCATCAAGGTATTATTTTAGAAAAAGTATTATCTGACAAAGACCCAATAATAAATTGTTCAAAGTAGAGGATATCTTAAAAGTAAACTTTTATTGAAGTGTAACATATATATTGAAAAGAGCACAAATCATAAGCATTCAACATGATGAATTTTCATGGTGAAGATTGTAACTGCCACACAAGTCAAGAAACATTGATATTACCAGTACTCAGATGCTCCCTTTGTCTCTACCTGTTCCCCTCCCCAAAGGGTAATCATTATTTTGACTTCTAAGACCATGGACTAGATCAGCACAGAGGGTATTTAAACAAAGAAACCATCTTTAAAAAAAAACAAAACAATTTTTATTGATTTTAGAGAGGAAGGGAGAGATAGAAACATCAATGATGAGAGAATCACTGATCAGCTGCCTCCTGCACACCCCCTACCAGGGACTAAGGCATGTGCCCTTGACCGGAATTGAACCCAGGACCCTTCAGTCCACAGGCTGATGTGCTATCCACTGAGCCAAAACGACTATGACAAGAAAATATCTTTATATTCAGATATTGACTGAGCTCTCATCTTGATCTGCCCTACAAAAGACCAATTCAGGATCCCTTACTGGACTCCACTCCCTTTTCAGAAAGACCAATTTCAATAGCAGTGGTATATTCCACCCAATATAATGGCAGCTGAAGAAAGTAACATTTGTGAGGTTACAGTGTATATTTATATCCCGTGATATACCAATATGAGGTGCTTGGGCCAACACTCTAACCATTGAGCAACACTGTCCAGGGCGACTCAGAACTAATTTGAATCTATATCTTAGTGGTTAAACCTAAATTTATGAGGAAGATGCCATCCCAAGTGAATTATTCAAGTATTGGAGCTAAATGGAAAAAAAGTAGAGATTTCCTGTCCGGTTTATTTTTCAAGTGCAAATTTACATAGTCTCTTCAACAAATGGTGCTGGGCCAGGTGGACATCCACGCACAAAAAAATAATGTTTCACTCTTACCTCACACCATATATACAATATATATATATATATAAAATACATATTTTTGTGTATATATATATATATAAAATAAGTCAAAATGAATCAGAGTTAAATATAAGAGCTGAAACTACAAAACTCTTAGAAGACAACAGAGGGATAAATCTTCATGACCTTGGATATCGCAATGGTTTCTTAGATATGACAACAAAAGCACATGCACCAAAAGAAAAATCTGATAAACTGGACTCATCAAAATTTAAAACTTTTGTGCTTCAAAGAGTGAAAAGATAATCCACATAGAGAAAATATTTGCAAATCACATATCTGAAAAGGTTCTAATATCTATAAAAAGAATTCCTGCAACTCAACAACAGAAAGATAAACAATTCAATTAAACAATAGGCAAAGGACATGATTGGAATTTCTCCAAAGAAGATATACAAATGATTAACCAGCACATTAAAAGATGCTTAACATCATTAGCCACCAGGGAAATACAAATCAAAATCACAATGATATACCACTCACACAACCGAATGACATAATAAGCATTGGTGAGGTTTGAATCCACATACATTGCTGGTAGAAATGTAAAATGGTACAGCTGCTTGGGAAACAGCTGGGTGGTTCCTCAGTAAATTAGGCATAAAATTGCCATAGACGCGAATTCTACTCCTACAGATATGCCCAAAAGAATTAAAACATATGCCCACACAAAAATGTTCATATTACTACTACTCATAATAGCTAGCCTAAAGGTATACACAACCCAAATGTCCACCAAGTGATGAATGATTAAACAAAATGTAATATATACATACAATAGAATATTATTCAGCCATAAAAAGGAATGAAGTACTGACACATGTTATAATACGAAAGTACTTTGAAAACATCATGCTAATTGAAAGAAGCCAGTTACAAAAGGCCACATACTGTATGATTCCATATCCTATGTAATAAAAGCCTAATATGCTAAGTGTCCAACCATTCGTTTTACCAGTCACTACGATGTGCACTGACCACCAGGGAGCAAGACACTCAGACCGGTGGGTTAGCTTGCTGCTGGGGTCCAGCCTGAGCGAGATGGGCCAGACATGCTCTGGAGCCCTCCCATGGTCCCTCCCGGGCCCCAATCATGCACCAGTGGGGTCCCTTGGCCTGGCCTGTGCCCTCTTGCAATCTGGGACCCCTCAGGGACCCTGAATCCATGCACCAGGCCTCTAGTATTATATAAAATGTCCAGAGAGAGGAAGAAAGTAGATTAGTGGTTGCCAGAGGAATGGGAAGTAGACTGCTTAATAGGTAAGGGGTTTCCATCTGTGATGAAAATGTTCTAGAACTAGATAGTGGTTATGGTTACACAACATTGTGAATATACTTAATGCCACTAGATTGTACACTTTAGAATGGTAAATTTTACATGTATTTTTGCCTCAATTAAGAAAAAGCACTTAGTGTGATCTTTGCACATGGTAGGTATTCCATAGTCATTGATTTAATGACTGTGCAGCATGGTTTTGGTCAATCCCAGCTTCTAGTAAAGGCAGATTTTGCCTTGAACAAACATAGCTCTAGGAATATAGTTGCTAAGCCTTTGGACATATCCTCAGGCAGAAGAGCTATGAGGATATGTACAAAGGCTTAGCAACTATATTCCTTCCCCTTTTATGCTATATCCCACATCCATACGAGAAGCCTCCCAAAGAAGTACTAAACTGCTTTCTGCCAGCCACCAGAAAGGAAAGCAGCTTCATTCTATACAGTCAATCAAAACAGGAACAACAGGAACAAAAGGTTGTACTGTACTGAGAGTTAGGTTGGGAGGTAGTGGTAAGGAGGTATTTTTTTCATTTGACTTTGATAAGACAATTACAAATATGAAATGATACAGCATTACATTACTCTGAGATCATATACTTACTCTAGACCAGTGGCACTTTTGATATTTAGAGCAGAATAATTATTTGTTGTGGGAGGATGTCCTATGCACTGTAGGATGTTTAACAGCATTCCTGGCCTCTACCCACTAGACAAGAGCAGCATTTCTCAGTCATGACAATTAAAAATGTCTCCAGACATTTTGCCACCCAGGGGCAAAATAGCTCTTAGTTGAGAATCACTGCTCCAGACTAAATATTGAACATCTTATGTAATATTAATAAACATAAAATGATGTACCCTAGGATTATGGATTGTATTGGGAAATACAAAACAACCTAACCATCTTGGATTGCTACGGGTCAATCTCATAAAGCTAATATTTTTGGGAAAGGACTGTGGGAAAATTCAAACAGAGAGCTGAAATTCTCAAATGTACAAACATTCTTAGGACCAGAACAATGGCCACCCAAACTAAGGGGAGTTGGAGTAAACAGCAAGCACCTAGTGATAAATGTAATGCTGGTGTTCTGCTTATTTAACTCCCTTTTGGATCAATGATGCTCAAAGGCAACTGAAGAAATGGTCCCTGCTCTGTATGCTAGATGCCTATCATGTTTGCCCTTGGGATAAAAGCATTTATTCAGACATTGCCAGAAAATAAAGAAAGGAACTGCCTACCTGAGAGTCCCATTCTCGCCTTTGTCCAGGCTGGTGAACCGGCTGTAGAGGCGGGTGATCTGACTGTGGGAAACTAAGGAACACAAAATTAGTCCCAGTTGGAGAAGTTGCCCTCCACTCAAACAGCATCCCTGTGGCCCTTTGGAAGCCAGCTGACCGTTTGATCTGAGCTCACCACTGAATGCTTCAAAGTGAGCAAAATGGGAAGATGTCTCAACTCTAACTCATCTCTAGAGTGTCAAAGGAGGAAATTTAACAGCTAAAAAAATGAAAGAAATTAGTATGCAAACTAAATCAAGAGCAATCAAAATAGACTCGGGAATGAAGTCTATGCTTAATTAAAACTATGTGTTAAATGTCAGGTAGTTAAGACTTAACACAAAACCAATTTTAGTTGAAAAGGAAATTGTGAAATTTTCCTTTCAGTCCCCTAACTTAGAGGCTATGAAAATGCATACTTTGATTAAAAGCACATACTTATTCATCAGTTTGAGGTTTCAAGCTGGCACTGTTGGGTAGGGAACTTGTAGTGAATTTAAGACTGGGCACTCAAACTGATTTTATTTTTTGTTAATCCTCACCTGAGGATATTTTTCCCATTGATTTTTAGAGAGAGTGGAAGGGAGGGAGAGAGAAACATCGATGTGAGATTCACTGTCTGGTTGGTTGCCTCCCTCACTCAGATGAAGGCAGGGATCTAACTTGCCCCAGACCAGAAATGGAACCCAAGACCCTTCAGTGCAAAGGCCGATGCTCTAACTGCTATAGGCAGTTAGCCATGAGCAGAGCAAGGACAAGGGGCCAGGTACAGAAGATCACCAGGATGGAAAGCCCCAGGTGCCTAGCAATGGACAATCAAGTGTAGGATAGGACCTTGTACCCAGGGTGACTTTTTCTTCCCTAGCATATTGCTGGTCATGAGGTTTGGACCCCCTGACCTTTCCTCCCTAGAGATAACATCTAGGCTTCAGTTGTATTTCAGCTCCAGGCCCAGATAAGCAACAAAACTAGCCACAGCTGACCAAAGGAACAACCGCATTGAATAATTACCCCTGCTCTGGTGCCAGCCAATCAATCAGTGGAGACCACAAACCTGAAAGGACACACCTGGAAAACTGCTGAATACTTTGAGATTTCCTGGGACCTCCCCTAAAATCTCCGCCCTTAAAACCGTTAGGATGGAGGACCCAGTCCAGAGCACTCTTCCTCCAGGGAGCACAACCCTGCTTTTCCCTTCCTTTTCCCTTCCCCCTCCCCAGGCACTTTACCATTAGCTTCCTCATGCCCAAGTTCCAAGGACCCTTCCTTTACCTCTATAACTTGTTTTCTAAGCCCATTTCTTTAGGAATGACTTCTTCTACCTCTGTAACTTACCAAATAAATATTCTCTTACAGTTTCTCTTACAGTTTGGGTCTTGGCTCTGAATTCTTTCCTAACCAGAGCCCCAGTACCAAGGTTGCAGTACCAGGTCCAGTCTGACCCCCACCAATCAGACACATGGTGCCATTCCTACCACCTAAAACATAACCAATAAGCAACATTGGCCAGGGCAAACAGATTTTATCTTTAAAATGTGGTTCACCCCTGCACCAAGCATTAGTGGCTTTACCATTTCCCTCAGTAAAAGAACACCAGTGCCTTGGATCAGCTCTTTTCTGTGATTGCATGACTTCTATTGAGTTCCCAGTACAGGTGTTAGGGGCAGAAATAGAATATTGGGGACTAGCTATAGTTATAAGAAATATTGATCATGCTCTGTTAACCTTGACCTGGCCTAGTTGCTCAAACAAAAAGTCCCTCCCCAGCCCGAAGAGCCTACTTCCCCAGGCCTATAATAATACCCATTTTGCATACCCATTCTTTTTTTTAAAATATATTTTTATTAATTTCAGAGAAGGGAGAGGGAGAGAAACATCAATGATGAGAATTATCTATCAGCTGCCTCCTGCATGCCCCACACTGGGGATCGAGCGCACAATCCAAGCATGTGCCCTCACCAGGAATCGAACTATGACCTCCTGGTTCATAGGTAGATTCTCAACCACTGAGCTATGCTGACCAGGGTGCATACCCATTCTTATTCCTTTTGACTACTTCCCCATGTAATCTTTGCCCTGCCCAATCTAAGCAGCTGGTTTGGGGGCGGGGGGTGTCAGAGCAGATTTTCGTGGATGACCTACCTGCTGCTCTCCCATACTGCTGACATTATTGGAATAAACGCTCATATGATACTAGAGTCCCAGTGCACGAATTTATGCATGGATGGGGTCCCTCAGCCTGGCCGGTGATCGGGGCTGATTGGGGCCGGCCAGTCAGGAGTAGAGACCGCAGGAGGTTGGCTGGCCAGGGGTAGGGACCGAGGGAGGTTGGCTGGCCAGAGGGGAGGGATCACAGGAGGCTGGCTGTGGGAGCACACTGACCACCAGGGGGCAGCTCCTGTGTTGAGCATCTACCCCCTGGTGGTCAGTGCACGTCATAGCTACCAGCCAGTCGTCTGGACGCATAGGCTTTTAGGTATAGACTAGAGGCCCAGTGCACAAAAATTTGTGCACTCGGGGGGGAGGGGAGGGGTCCTTCAGCCTGGCCTGTGCCCTCTCACAGTCTGGGACCCTCAGGGGATGACCACCTGCTGGCTTAGGCCCGCTCCCCGGGGGATTGGGCCTAAGATTGCAATCAGACATCCCTCTGGCAGCCCGGCAGCCCTTGGGGGATGTCCACTTGCCAGCGGGGAACAGGCCTAAACTGCAGTCGGACATCCTTAGCGCTGCTGAGAAGGCAGGAAAGCTCCCACCACCACCACTGTACTGGCAGCCATCAGCCTGGCTTGTGGCTGAGCAGAGCTCCTCCTATGTGAGAGTGCCCTGACCACCAGAGGGCAGCTCCTGCATTGAGCATCTGCCCCCTGGTGGTCAGTGTGTGTCATAGTGACCAGTCGTTCCCAGTCGTTCTGCTGTTAGGGTCAGTTTGCATATTACCCTTTTACTATATAGGATAGAGGCCTGGTGCACGGGTGGGGGCCGGCTGGTTTGCCCTGAAGGGTGTCCTGGATCAGGGTGGGGTTCGCGCTGGGGTGCCTGGCCAGACTGGATGAGGGGATGATGGCTGTTTGCAGCTGGTCACACCCCCTTCAGGGTGGGGGTCCCCACTGGGGTGCCTGGCCAGTCTGGGTGAGGGGCTTAGGGCCGTTTTCAGGCTGGTGGGCGACTGAAGCTCCCAACTGCTCCTTTTTATTTATTTTTTTAATTCTAGGATTTATTTACCTTCTATGGCTGTCACTGGAACTGAGAGCCAGCTTTAGCTCTGGGGCTCAGCTCTAGCTCTGAGACCTTCGCTGCTGAAAGCAGGTATCTGGGTTTGTTTGGCTTCTATAATTGAAACACTGTTGCAACTCCAGCTCTGCGCCCGGCTGGGTGAAAGCAGGTTTCTGGGGTTTGTTTAGCTTCTATAATTGCAACATTGTTTCTTAGAGTGCAGCTCAGAGGCCGGCAGCGGCAGGCGGGGAACCTTGGCTTCCTGCATCACTGGAGCAAGCAAGCCTCCTGTTCGCTTCAGCTGCCTGGCTGCCAGCCGCCATCTTGGTTGGCAGTTAATTTGCATATCACCCTGATTAGCCAATGGGAAGCGTGTCAGAGGTACGGTTAATTACCATGTTTGTCTATTATTAGATAGGATAGCCCTGTCTCTGTTTAATTGGCTCAAGTAGTGACAGGTAGCCCAGACCCATTGGTTGTCCAGTTTTAAAAGAATGGGCTCCAAGAAAACAAATTAGGCAATTTGTAAAATTGGCATGTTATCATCAGCTGACATTTACAAAGAACCTATTTTGCTCTTCATTTGGGAATAACCCAGGCATAAACTGACAAGTAAAATGAGATAATTAAAAAAATGATAAAAAGGAATTTCTAGGAAATAGTCTCCTGGCAGACTGGAGGTAGAAGGGAAAAAAATTATCAAAAGAGAAAAGACAACAGCCAAAGAGGGTGTGGCAAGTGTAGACTTTGTCCCAGGCTCTTTTCCAGGTTTTAAAGGAGAGGCTGAAAGAGTTCTGATGTTGTCCTCCTCACCCCTGCTCTAGAAACAAAAATTTACTTGAAGTTTTAGGAACAATAGGACAAAAGTAAACAGGGGCACAGCAGGAGAAGCAGAAAGTGAGTGGTCCAAAGCTAGGCTGGGAGGACACACTAGGTGTAGCTGTGAATGCTTCAGCATCAGGTTTCATCCCCAAACTGGGCTCTGTTCTGTTCGGTAAGGAGAGCAGAGGAGGCGGAATTACCTACCCCCAGCCAGGGCAAAGCCAGTGGGATTTCAGGCACTGAGGAAGCATTGTGGACCTTTCTGCCAACCAGGCAGTTGTGAACAGCTCGGTGTAAACAGTACACTCCTGGGAGGAGCAGGTTGACAGAATGATTCCATTCATGGCACCAAAGCTTACCAGTGAGGGGTGCGTGAACAGGGCTGTGGAGTGAACTATGGTAGGCAGTTAGACAGACATGAGCAGAGTGAGGACATTGGGCTAGGTACAAAAGGTCATCAGAGTGGAAGGCTCTCGGTGACTAGCAAAGGACAAAATATAGGGTGGGACCTTGCCACCAGGGTAACCTTTCCTCCCTAGAGATAACATCTAGGCTTTAGTTGTATTTCAGCTATAGGGCCTAGAAGAGCAACCAAACCAGCCACAGCTGACCACAGGACCAACATCAGTGAATAATTACCCCTGCCTTGGTGCCAGCCAATCAATCAGTGGAGACCACAAACCTGAAAGGACACACCTGGAAAACTGCTGAATATTCTATTGAGATCTTCTCCTGGGAACTCCGCTAACATTTCCACCCTTAAAACCCTTAGGACAGAGGCACAGAGGACCTAGCACACTTTCCCTCCTGGGAACATGCGCAGCCTTTTCCCTTCCCCTTTTCTACCCACCAGGTGCATTACCATTACCTTCCTCACTACCAAGTTCCAAGGGCCCTTCCTTTACCTCTATAACTTGTTTCCTAAGCACATTTCTTCTAGGAATTACTTCTTCTACCGCTGTAATTTACCAAATAAATGTTCTCTTACAGTTTAGGTCT